AAATTAGGTCAATCTACAGATTGCCTAAAAACAAATAGCATGAAAATTTTATACTGTAGCTGGCTCAGAAGTTTGCATCAAAATCCCCTAGAATAGGGCCTCCCTGGTGGCATAAAGGGTTAAGTTTCAGCACTATAAAGCTGTCAGCAGCCACTGTAACACGAGATAGATCCCCTGGCAGGGAGGTGACAAGCATGGCATGGCAGGGCAGACCTCTCCTGTCTCACCCGCTGCTCCCTTAGCAGTGTATTTCAGACAGTCTGCCTGTTCTGCTCCCCACTCTGTCTCTGGTGAATTCTCTCACCTCACCACATCTCTGATCTACACTCCAGCTCTTGCTCTTGTATGCATAGATAAGTCCATCTTTTTCAAAAAATCACCTAGAATGTGTTAAAATGCAACTTTTCAGAATAACCTCTTTTGATCTGTTGGGATAGACCCCTGGAATCTGTCTTTTTCTCAAGCCATCCTCATATCCTGTAATTCTAATATATGCACGTCGTGCATTATTAACATTTTCATTTTCATTGTTTGCCGAGGAAGATGAAAAGATTTTTCCTGGGAAACTAGCTCTTTTGTATTAATATATTCATAACAAATTATAGTAATTAAAGCATGGTTTAATGAGGCCAAGTATTAAGTCAGAAAATCAGTCTGGCAGACCTTACAATCCAGAATTGAAGAGAAACAATTTGTTTTGATTGATAGTAGTGAAAGAAAGGGAGGGGAGTGGACAGAGAGTATAAGGAAAACATAATTAACAGGACCCAGGCATCTATGAGCTAAGAGAGGGTAAGGGACAGTGTTGCAATCCCAGTAGTTAATAAACTCCTTATGACAAGGAACCGTATCTTACTCAGTTTTCTGACTCAACGTACCTTAGTACGTTGTGGGTTCTTAATAAGTGTTGAATTACTTGATTAATATATTACACATCATATAGAAAATTCAAGAGAGATCTTTTTTTTTTTTTTTTGCTATCTCTGTTTTAACCCTATAATTTATCTTCACCTTATTGCTGACTTGTTTTACATTGCCTTTGGCTTCACTAACAGAAGTATGTATTTTTTTTTTGTGCAAATTGAAATGATTTGAAATATAAAAAGTAACAAAAGTATCTCATATTTCCTAATATCAGGCATTTTCCCCAATGAGAACATAGTAGTGAAGGTGCATCAAATCAGATATAGTTACAGAATTATGTGAAATTGTCATCTCATGGAAATATCATCCACTCTCAGTTAGAAATTGCGAAGTTTCCTTTTTAAAATTATTTTTCCATAGAATATATGTGTTTTGATTGGAAATATATACCATGACAAAATCGTGAATGCATCCAGAATAAAATAGTTTACTCTTTTAAAATATTAGTGTTTACAAATCTCATCCTTTCCAAATTATCTCCCAAAGATGTGAGTGAATTCATTAATGTCCTCTTCTCTGACTCTTTAGACATCAAAAGGGACCATCTTCAGAATCCAAATGTTTCTCCAGCTTTCCGCAGGATATCACAAAACTTCCTGGCAGGGGCTTTTAAACAAGTTGAGAACTTTTATAAGATAAAAATATTTTTTCAGTTGACTTGACAACCATGTACAATATTAGTGGAGAGTTTATTTGCCCAAGGCTCTTTGTCAAAATGAATTTAAACCGAGATTATTAAAATGCAGCTCAGTTGCATGGTGTGAGCAGAGGTGTTGCTCATGTCTTACTTGGAGAATGTTTTCCATTTGATGTGTATGAGTTGGTTAAAGTGCTAGAAATATAGAGGTACATTACTGCTAAAAGAGAGGAGACATTTAAATTTTTTTAACAAAATAATAAATCATATGTATATGTATAAAAGAAGAGTTTTGATCCAGAGAATGAGAAGCACTCTATTTCTGTGGTTTGCAGTGCTGTGTGACCATCAGATTGCCTGCATCTGTGTCACGGCCCAAACATTTAACTGACAGCTTCCCTCATCAAGGAAATAGAAGTTGTGATAATAGAAACATAATGGGGGTATTGTAAGGATAAATGATATCATTATTATAAATGATTAATATAGTGTGTGGCATAGATCAAGATTTTATTTCAGACCTGTGAAATCACTACTAAGCAATGTCTTCTGATAGTTCCAGACGTGTGGCAAGGAAAAAAAAAAAGAAAAAAATGCCTGTCCCAATTTAATGATACCTTCTCTGTTATGAATTAAACAGCTTTAGGAAAATTTCACTAATGGTAAACAATGCTTGAGTCACCAGATCTCTCCATGGCTATAGCTAATTCCTTACGTGAGAATCAGCATCCCAAAAGGAAAATGATCATCTGGATGAGAAGTTGTAATCTTCCCAATTTGGAAAATCACATTACACTACTTTGGGAAAATGTCCAAATTGCTAAATCTTGGAAACAGTTCTTCTCCACTCGAATGGACACATTATTTAAGAAGTTTTATTACTTATGAAAAAGACCAGTTGCCTCTCAAAAATAATAGCATTTGTGTATGGTTTGAAAGATTGCTCCACCACAGATGGAACAGTTGAGCGTATTCCACATGGCAGTGACTTGACATAACAGGGTCACCCAGAAACTGAGCTGTAGCCAGAATCCAGGGTGGTGGTGAGATAGTAGTGTTGGCACGGATTACACTAACCCTATAGTTAGAAATGCATTAAGGCATCTCAGTCAGTCTGTGAGATTGTGCCACCCGTACAGTTTCTTTTTTAACTTTAACATCCAAAGCGAATTCTTGCCATTATTACTTGTTTTTTCTCCAGTCCATGTTTTCGCCAAAGACAGCAAACAGAGCAGATTACTTTTGGTGATGTTTGTCGTTATTGGGATTTTTTTTTTTTTTTTGACAAATTAGAGTAAGATAGAATTTTCTTGATTTCTTTCAGTTTGTCAGGTTTACCAACGCAATAAAAAGAGTAAGCTGGGTTTTCAATGGTATTTCAAGCACTGTGCCAGGCATTTTATGTCATCTTTGTATAATCTTCACAGCTAGAGGGGTGTATTTCTAAAATGAGGACACTGAGGCACGTTTATTTCTTCATTACCATTTAGCTTCCTCCTATCATATGAATAAGGGAAACGTGTAGAATTCAGAGTTCTAACTCCATCATCTATTACTCTACTGGATCACATCATCTCTTGCTTTTATTCTTTAACTTCCAAGTATGAAAACCATTTTTCTCTCTATTATCTGTCAGTCATTCTATTAATGGTTCAATACCAACCTATTTAATGATATTAACTGGGCTTGGAAAGAGTAATATGATTCATCATATTGCTGAGTTATTCTAACCTGAAAGTGAAAAATGATACTCAGTAGTGTATTTTTAGCTTTTCTGGGCAATTTTTAAACAGTTTTCATAGTAAAAGTTAGAAAATATAGGGCCTCCCCGGTGGTGCAGTGGTTGAGCGCTGGGTTGCGAAGCTGCCCGCTGCCACTGCAGTGCTGGTTCGATTCCTGGCTGCTCCCTGGCCACTGGAGGAGGGTCCCGCATGGCACGCAGACCTCTCCTGCCGCCCGCTGCTCCCCTCAGCAGTGTACCTCGGTCCTTCTGCCTGTTCTGCTCCCCGCTCTGGCTCTGGTGAATTCTCTCACCCTCTCACGCTTCTGACTGTACCCAGTGTTTGTATAAATAAATAAATAAATAAATCTTTTAAAAAAAAGTACTTTAAATAAATAAATAAAATAAAAGTTAGAAAATATAGTGAACTCTTAATTCTTCATAATGTTAAATGTATCAGTTTTGAATCACATTTTTAAATCTAAATGAAATTGTTGTGAAATACTGTTAAATTTTATTTTTATTTTAGAAAATGTAGGTAATTGTGGTTTAATTTTGTGATTTCCACATCAGTTCTCTTATTAATGATTTAAAATACAGTATAGATATTCTTGTTCACCTTTTTTGTTAGTAAAGACCCCTTCATATATTATGTGGATTATTACACACTGAGTAATACTAACACTTGACTCTGTTGCCATGATCTCAAGGTAGGCATGACTAACTTGACTCTCTGCTTCTTCACTAGTAACCCTCACTCAGAATATGGTAATGGCCTTATTTTAAGAATTCTTAAGAGATCATATGAAATATTTTTACTGAAATAGAGACTGTATGATGAGTTCATTCAGCATTTAAACATGGGTTACAAGAGTATGATTCCAATAAGCCAGGATCTTAGCAAGATGAGTCAGTGTTTAATGATAACAAAAAAATTGAAAGGAGGTGACAAATGAGAGAGAAATATTTAAAACATAGGGCAAGGTTTGCCCTCAACAGTAAATAAAATAGCTTAGGAGAGGAAGGAATAAACGAAGACCTGATTTTTGATTTTGTAGATTGGTGCCTAACAAAGACACACACACAAAGAGGACAAATGAGAGAGAATAGAAGTGGAATTCTCAAAGAAAATATGAGTGGGTAAACATACTGTCACATTCTTCTAATCCATCCTTGCAGTGATGCCAAATTTGAGATTTCCAAATTAAGGCAACAGATTCAAATTTACTAGAAAAGACAAAGATGACCAAGAATTTCGAGATTTTCCAGGGATAGTTTGTAATAGATGATGACTAGAATAAGATGGTTTGGTCCAATGAAGCATATGGGCAAAACATAATGTGGTTTCAGTTTTGATAAAAAGTATTAATAAAGTATCTCCAGGCAAGATTAATAATCTAGTATGGTTAAATAGAAACTTCTTCTGTCTATATGTTTCATATTTACTTCTACATGAGAAATATAGCAATAGATCATTTTAATACAGGTGACCCAAAAACATGATTTTTTTTTTAATTTGGGAAATATTTTTTTATTAAATGAATATATTTAACTTTAGTCTGGGTAACAAAATATGCAAAATAAGATCTTAAACTTAATTTTTTTCTGACCTTTAAAACTAATTTCTCTTCCATTTTTGACTTATTTAGCTGTTAAATGATTCTAACCATTAAACATTGAAATATCTTAATGTGATTCTTAATTTCAATTCTGAATTAGCATGGGCATCAACCATGACAACGACCACCCATTATGTGCTGATGGTCTTCATATCATGTCTGGTGAATGGATTAAAGGACAAAACCTTGGTGATGTTTCATGGTCCCGATGTAGTAAGGAAGATTTGGAAAGATTTCTCAGGTACCAAGGTCACTTCCTATTGTTTCACTGCGATTGATTGTGCATGTTTCCTCTACCAACCAGGGAAGGTAGTACACTAGATTCTGCCACAGAGCACTGGTTTGCAATTTTGGCTCTTCCATTGACTCAGGTTATGAATTGGGATGTATCCTTTCACCCATCTGCTTCTTAGTTTCCACAGTTTCCAAATAAATTAATGGGCAAGAGGATTTATAAGATGGAAAAATTAGGATGAAGGGATGTGTCATGATATTTAATTGCCTCTTCAAGATTTTCTCAGTGAAAGTACTGTCATTGTTCATCTCATCTATTATCACAAAGAACCTCTTTAACCAGATCTCTGCCTTTCCATTGTGATATTTCTAAACTCTAAATCTTTTTTCAGTAATAAGAATCAGCATAATGATTGTCCTAGATTCACTTTTGGACCTTTAATAGCAATGACACTTAGCTTTGATGACTTGGGGGAAAAAATGAAAAAATAAAAAAAAAGTTTTATTTTCATCTTAAAGCCCTAGTTCCCTCCTTTTCTCTCTAACAATTATAAGGAGCAGCTGAAACAGTAGGTGATATGCAAAAGTGGTTAGAAAAAGTGAAAATGTAAGGGAGAGTGTGAGTTATTGTTTAAGCTATAAGTTAAGATAGTTTAAGCTATCCAGGATAAGAAGTGTAAGAACACCACCTACTTAGCTAAACTCACTTCACAAGTAAATTTTATAATTTTTTTCCATACAATTTAAAAATGACCAGACTGTTTTCTGTTGCATTAATATTAGAATTTACTGGCAGATACATATATAATGTTTATTATGTTACTATTACTATGCTCTGAAATATATGCAGTGTGTTCTTTTGAATGTTCTTTGTCCTGATATGTAATATATGTAATAATTGAGCATACCATCTTACTGATACTGTAGTCCTTCAGTAGGAACCTCCAACACATTCCTAATAGCATACATGATTTTATGTGGCTGCCTTGACATAAATCAGAACTCTGATTAAAAATCATTTTCTTCATGAGAGAAAAAAACATAGAAAAGTTTAGTAATAGCATATAGACCTTCTGTCAACATGGGAAAGACCGAGCAGGACCGAGTCACTCTAAAACTGTGATAAAATTTAATGTCATTACGTAAATGGGGAGTTGTATTACAATGATCAAGCATAAAAACATACTTTAATACTCACTTAAGAGTATCTTTCATATTTTCATTAAATTACTGAATGTAGTTGGTCTCCTATCTTCAAAAATTATTTTCAGACATGTTGCTCTCTGGGTCTGAATTTCTTCACCTTGTAAATGGGTGCAGTAAAAACTACCTTAGAGTGTTATGCTCATTAACTGACTTAATTCATATTGAAAGGCCCCCATAAACCAAAACTTTGTTAACTTGAACATAATTATTATCATTGGGATAGGTTTAAATAATTCTCACAAATGGAATAATTTCTATGAGCATTCAATAGAATTGTCAATAAATGTAAGAGCATATTTTAAAGCTCTGTATTGTTATGTTAATTACCACAACTTTTTCTTACAAGTTCAAAATTTTATACATATCTGTATATTGCCAGGTCCAAGGCCAGTAACTGCTTGCTTCAGACAAATCCCCAGAGTGTCAATTCTGTGATGGTTCCCTCCAAGTTGCCAGGGATGACATATACTGCTGATGAGCAATGTCAGATTCTCTTTGGGCCACTGGCTTCCTTTTGTCAAGAAATGCAGGTAAGGATTGTGTCTAGGTGGGAGTTTTAAAGTATAAGTCCAAATTCATTTGTTTAGAAGTACTGACTAGACAATGGGAAGTTGACTATAGTTTAGAGTTTGTGACTGAAACGTACCCTGAATCTTGGAAAGAAGGATTTTTCGAGAAAACTTTTCTGTATTTTTCCCCTGGCACTTTTAAATGTGACAGAAAATAAGGTGTGGGCGTATAATCAAATTCAGGAAGGAATGACCCAAGGATTTCTATTTCAAAAATGGCATGTAAGTCAGGGAAGTATTTGCATTATTCCAGATTAGTTTATTGTTTCTATTTTAAATCTCTCCCTTTCTTGCATGGTAAGTAACTTGGTAAAAATGTAATAAAATTGATATATGACTTGGAATTGTGGTGGAAGAGCTGTGTCTTTCAACCCTGGCAAATTTTCAAAACTATGTTCTATAGGAGAAACAAAAATTTCTAAATAAACTAGAGGAAAGGTGTAAATGTATGATAATGGGAAAGTTAGGAGAGCCTATGTATTCATATTCACATGGTCACTAATTACTCAGAGAGGCTACTTGCAAAAATAGAAAATCTAAAATCTGAAGGCGTGAGCATTATTACCTTCTTAATTGTAAAAATTTTAACTAGTTACTCTTCATTTTTTCTTTCCTTAACTCTTCCTCCTGCTCATCCCTATTTGCCCATCTCTTCCCATGTCTACACACACACACACACACACACACACACACAAACACAGTATTTCAGGAGTAAACTGATAATCATGTTTAGAGTGAACTGGTTCCTGTCTTTGACTCTATGTAAGCTTCTGTGATGCCTCCAAGGAGTTCCGTTTGGTTGAAGATAACGATGTCTTGAAAATAGAAGCATAATTAAAGTCTGCTATCAGAAAACATGTACATGGCAATATAGCATAATGTATGCTCTTTCTGTTTTGTAGTTATTATCAAAGGACTTAATCACTCATTTATTATTTTCTTATCACTTTCTTTTTCAGTGTATAGTCTCCTTGAAAGCAGAGAGTGTTTTTGTAGCATTTAGACCAGTGACTTTCATGTGGTAAAGACTCAAAATTAAGATTAAAATAAGTGAACGTATAAAGGAGTTGGAGCTGCATGAAATGTGATATAGGAAAGGCTGGGAACAAGGGAATTCAGAGAGAATGGGTATAGGTGTGTGGTTGTGACCTTATTCTCAAGGGTACAATACTCTCAAGTGCCAGAGTCACAGGTCCTTGCACTTAGCCTCACATGTGACTGTTCTGACCACAGGCACCATATACTCTGTCCCTGATATCACTCCTCTCAGATCTCATTTAGTCTTGTTATCTTTTCTTATCTCCAGGCCTTTAGACACTCAAAAATTGGGTCATGATCTTTTTCCTTAAATCTTCATGGTACAAACAAGTGTACACAGGTCTGGTTTTGTGGGTAGAAACCTCTACATGCTGATGTAGCATTGTGTTAGAAAATAGTAGGCTCTCTATGTTTGTCACTGTACTAGTGTTTATTGTAGAGGAGATGATCTCAGTTCATGTGATATGGAGAATTGATGGAGCTGATAAATGGAAGATTTTCATGTTTTATAAAGTACCCGAAGTGTTAGGCTCAGCAGATGACCAACCACAAACACAACTTAAGTAAATTTTAGATTTATTTTCCTAAACATTTTTTTAAAAACTTTTGGAAATTATTTTCATTTTTATTTTGCAGTTAGTTAAACATTACTAGTACTTTTCTATAATTTTTGAACTCTCAAATATAGCATAGAATTTTATTTATTTTGATTTATACCACCTTCATGGAGTTTACGTTTGATTCTTACAACAGTCATATGCCATAGTTACTTTCTTATATACTGTCTTCATTGTGTAGAGAATCTCAGATCAATTCCTCTTAGGTATCCAGAAATGTTCTCCTTTTTTCCCCTCAAATTTTATGTGTGACATTTTTACTTATGAAATCATTTTTGTCTCTAGTTCTATCTGTGTGTAATATTTCTCAAGGAAAACGTAATAAAAATTGCCAGATAGGATTGGCCTGCTGTGGGGAGTCAGGAGAAGCAGTGGCTCAGGGGGGGCTGGTGGACAGAACTGACTCTAGAAGTGTATATTCTGGACTCTTCCAGTGTCATCTGCCTCTTCCTAGTTTTGGAACCTTAGTCAAAACTCTTTTACTTCCTAAGCCACACTCTATAGAACAAGTGTGACTATGGTATCTTTCAGAGTTTCTTAAAGCTAAGTGACCTAACTTTTGTAATTTCAAAATAGTATATTAATACAACCCTTGAAAATCATCTTTGCAACCCCAAATTAGTGCAACATGCAAAAGGTAAGAAACATATAGATGGGTGAGAGGGTGGGATGGGAAGAGAGAGAGATCGATCCACTGAAGAGATTATAAATTCAGTCATTGATTCAACAAATATTTTTATAACTTCTAACTTCTTTCCAGGCATTGTCCTATGTACTGAATATAGCAGGAAACAAAAGCCCACCTTCATGAAGCTTTGATTTTAGATGTAGGAAATGACAGTAAGCATTTATATTTGTATTTATTCACACACACTCACATACTTATGTTAGTTGGTCATATATGTTCTGGAGAAATACAGACTCAGCTAAGGATAGTGAGTATACCCAGGGAGGGGAGGGGAAGGGAGGGATGGTGCCATTTTATATAGGGTAAGCTGAGAAAACCTGTTAGAGAAAGTGCCACTGTTTGGAAATATGAAGGAAGTGCAAGAGCATTTATGTTGGGAGAATACATCAGGGGAAACAGAAAAAAAAAAGGCACCGGGATGGAGTTTGGATCACACTTGGTGTTTAATTGCCTATTAGATATCCAAGTAGAGATGTTACTAGTTCTAGGATAACATATATCTGGAAGACATCAACAGGTCAGTGTATTGCAGATATGGTACTAAAAGATAACTAATGAGTTAGATAGAAGAGAACTGAGAACTTGGTCACTGTAATATTTAGAGGTTAGGAAAATAAGGAAAAGGCAACCTTGAAAATTCTGAAGGTTTCTTGATGGGAATAACATCAAGAGAAAGTAGATCCTAGAGGCTGCCTGAAGACAATTTTCAAAGTGGAAATGATTAGCTATTACAAAAGTTGAAGAAAAAGGGAATAAAGTGAAGTGTGAGAATACACAGTTGGTAATGTTTTTTCCAGCAGGGTTTTGCCCTCTATTAATTTGAAACTATTGAAAATCCCTGAATATGTAAGTGCCAGGAGGTGTAACTCTAAAATACAAAGGGAAATAATTATAAATGTAGAAAATCAAACAGTTCTGTTTGATCATCCTCACACAGATAACACCTTCAAGTAAATAGACGGGTCACCACATCCACCAATCTACCTTCTAGGTTTAGGCAAAATCAAACTCCTTCAGAAGTCCACAACATCGGAGGATATATCTGTCCTTTTTTATCACTTTACATATGTCACCTAAAAAGTGCTCAGTAAATGTTTGTAGAATGAATTAGTAAATCAGTTGGATAAGTGAATGGAGTTATGCTTCTAAATTTTTATTTACATAAATGCTTCTCAGATGTGTAATTTGTCAAGATGACATGAAGCTAACATTGTAGTATATTAAATCAATGACGACATAACACCAAAAGTGTAAAGGCAGATAGTTTGTATTTTACAGCTTATACATGATTCAATCAGGTTTCTTTGTGATCATCCCATTACTAATCAGTTATAAATATCCAGATGCGTGGAATGAAGATTTTTAGCATCTTTTTAACATGTATATTTCTGACAGAATCTTGAAAACAATATGCTTCTGAATCTAACAGTGGAAGTTGGTTTGTAGTTTTTGAATTAGATATTGTTCTTCTGTACTTGTAAACAGTTAAATACACACAGGCGGTAGAGACTGCATCGCTACTACATGCTGATCTAATTAATGATACAAATGACCCTTAGGATAGCAACTTACATCTGCAAACTGTTTCAAGTCCTAACTGTGGAGATGCTTGTGAAACATCTTACCTCTGGCAATAATAGCTCACTCTTTGCGTTAATTTGCACATGGCTAACTTTTTTTGGAGGCCTTGTTCTTTAGTCCTAGGCTGTTGGTGCCTTCAGGCCATCTGGTATGTGGTGACTAAGCTAGTTCCAACTGCATCAAGTCATTGTAATAGCTGTCTGAAATTACTTAGCATAACTAAGAATAGAGGTATAGAAGTTTCCCTAGAAACAGTGAGATGCAGCTGCATAAGAGTTAAGTTTTTTGAGTAAGAAGGAAGTATGCTAAAGAATTGAAGACCTCCAGGAAACTTAAGGTTCTGCCTTTGGTTTGAACTGGGCACACTACAAATTGCATATATTTTATATTGTGTAGAAAACTTCCTAATAGTGTAATTGAATTATATAGTAACTGAAAATGATGTGTAAGTTTCCAAGTTTACATTTCTCATATATTGACTTGATACTTCAAAATACAGAGGAATTCTTAAATCTCTCTTTTGATCCAGTGAACTAGCTGGTGTTGAAGTATGGTTACTTTATGAAAAATTCTAGAAGACTGAGTCTCTGTAATTTGGCATTGTGAAAATCCAGAGGCAGCAGCAATTTTGGACTTAAAAAGACTTAAAATGAAATATTCCTTATGGTTAATAGGGTCTTAGGCAACTAAAACAGAATTATCAATAAATCATGATGTAAAGATTGGTGAAGCTGTAAATTTTTAGAGTCCTTCTGTTACAGGGCAGGGTGAGGGGCACCTCAGGACCCCCCCAACCTGCCTGCTCTAAATAGGTTCTTCCATCGACTGCATCAACCCAAAAAAGACACTAGTGCATAAGACCTTTAATGGAAAGGAATTTTAATACAATTAATGTGCAATAAAGACAAGAGAAGGGAAAGAATAGAAAATAGTTTCCACACAACACCCAGAGTTACCCATCTCCTTGTGGGAAATTCCCATCCAAACAGGGTTGGGCCAACGCAGTGCCACTGAAGTCTGATAGTTTGGCACAAGTC